TGCACAGTTCAATAGCTGATGTCTCGGGCAGTCGATCCTTGCAATTAAGACTCAAATTTCTCCAACGGTTGATGTAGTGGATGACAGGTTCCTTCTTCCATTGGCGGGAATTGGTGAGCTCAATCATGCTGACTGTTCTTCGAGTGCTGTAAAAGCGGTTGAGAAATTCTTCCTCCAAGTGCTTCCAACTATCAATGAAGTTTGCCCCCAAATCAATGTACCAATCAAACGCGTTGCCTTTGAGCGATCGGACGAATTGCTTGACGAGGTGATCTCCGTAAGTCCCGGCGTCATTGCAAGTCTCGACGAAGTGTGCCACATGTTGCTTGGGGTTGCCTTTGCCGTCAAATTGTTGAAACTTTGGAGGTATATAGCCCATTGACATCCTTAGATCATCAATCCTTTGCGTGTATGGCTTGACATAGGTTGATGGAGATTTCGAGCTTCCTTCCAACTTGTCTTTGATGGTTCCACTGATCAGCGTCATCACTTGATCTACATGAATCATCCCTTCTGGAGAAACTTGAAGTTCTTGAGCTGGAGCCTTATCGTTTTCAACTGGTTGTTGCTTTGTGGATGTCTCGACTTCGTCTTGAACCTCTATCTGATTCTCCACAGCTTGACTAGCATCGGCTTTGTCCATCTTGTTGATCAACTCGGCAATTTGAGAATCTCGTTGTTGAACATGCTTTGCGAGTCCCTCAATGGCCTTTGTCAAACTTGCAATTTGCTCCTCCATGGTTGTAGCGTTTGTTGTCATGACGGATGCCACCTCTGAGTAGTTTGATGTTGAACGAGGCGTGGGCTGTGAAATCTCTCGTTTTGAACCTTCCACGTCTGCGCTTGTGTTGACAAGAGGTGGTAAGCTTTTCTGAATGGTTTGAGGCGTCGAGTTAGTCTCAGAGGATGATTGCAGCTTCTTAGCCATACTCCTTGTACCTAAGCCCACACTTGATGAATCTGAAGTAGCAATCTTCATTGTGAACGTAGAGCAGTCACTGCAACACTTTGAGGATCTTCGAGAGAGAGAAGAGATGAGAGGTAGAGATGTCCCACCGGGCGTGCCAAAATTTGTAACAACAAAATTCTTATCTGCGATTTAGACAAACAAGAAAATACTTGCACAAAGATAATTTATTGAATTAAAATAAAATATTGCGGGTTACAAACTCTAATTTAATCCTCTGATTATTCTCTCAAGAAAAATATATGATTGACTTTGAATTTCGGAGACGAGTCGTTGACTTGATCTTCTCCGGATTTGATTTGGATTTGAAAAATGTCTTCCGAGGGTCTTGCGACTTGAATCTCGGATCGAACGCTGAACTTTGACGGATTTTGACTTGAAGATCTTGGAGTTCTTGATGGATTTGGCCCTTCAATCTTCCTTCGATCTTGATTTGATGTTAATAACGTTAATTCGAGGGTTTAGCACCGTAATCTCGAATTAAACGCTTTACCGCCTTGATTTGATGAAGAACACCTTCGATTTGATGAACTCCTTCGATTTGATGAAGAACGCCTTGAATTTGATGAAGAACGACTTGAATATTGTAGAGAGAATTTTCTCCTACGGTTTTTATTCTTCTTGAGTTGTGCTTTGAATTGTGTAGGGAGGGTCCCTATTTATAGTGGTAGAATAAGAGTCCTACACAAAGTCTTCTTGATGACGTGGCGCGATTTGATTGGCTCTCTTTAAATTGATATTTATCTCTTATAAATTGGAAGAGAAGAAACAATCCTATTGGTCAATAATTAATTGATAATTATCTCCATGACTTATTTTGCAAGATAAATTATAATCTTGGGATTCAATTTAATATAATATAAATTATATTAAATTTACGTGTCTACAACAGCTACCCCTACTTTTAAATATTTTTACATAAAATTTATGTAATTTGGTTATTTACCGAACCAAATCGTATATTTAGTTCGGTAAAGGTTATGAAATGTTGGAGTACCGAAATTTCGGTTCGGTTTACCTCTGGAGTGGTCTTTTCGTAAGATAATATATAATTGAGGGGTGGTTGAAATTACACAAATAGAAGGGGGCTTTCGTAATTTGAGCATAACTCAGGGGTGGCCCTAATTTGCACTATATTTTGTAACATATGTAAATAAATACCTTCCGGATTTTCTTGGTTGAGCTCGTTCCACATACCTTAATTTGCCTAGTCCATCTATCGAACAACGAAAATCAGCACTTGATATTTCTTCCATACTTGCAAGTCTTTATCGTATACTAGAGTGACAAACGATACAATCTACGTATTTCGAAAAATCGAAATCAAATTACAGAGGGCTATTAACGGAATACTGTGAAAGAAGTAGAGAAGTGGTGACGAAATTGTTGAAAGGAATATCAGAAACCCTGGGTTTGGAAGAAACTGAAGTGGAAAACGCCTTTAACATGAGCTCGAGTTTACGGATTTTCATTGCGAATCTGTACCCGCGTTGCCCGAATCCCGATTCTGCCCTCGGAATGCCACCTCATTCGGACCATGGCCTTTTAACACTTGTCATACAAAATGGAGTTGGAGGATTGCAAATTCAACACAAGGGTGTGTGGGTCAATGTCAATGCTATCCCTAATTCAATCTTGGTCAACACTGCTGATCAACTTGAGGTAATAAAATAAATAAATAATAAATTATGTTGTTCTTGTGTATTATGCATAATCACACAAGAGTGTTCTTGTCTATTTTTTCTCAATAGATATTTAGCAATGGGAAGTACAAGAGTGTTTTGCATAGAGTGGTGGTGAACAATGAAAAGACAAGGATTTCAATTGCGATGGCCAACGGTCCGTCGGGCGACACGGTTGTGGGCCCGGCTCCAAAGCTTCTGGAAAAACGAGGGTGTGTTTCATCGTACGCTCCGATGAAGTACAAGGATTATATATTGTCACAACAGAGTAACCAACTCAAGTGCAAGTCCATCTTGGAGCAACTTCAAATTCATGAAGAAGGCAATTAGAATTAATGCCTTCCAACTAGTACTATTTGAAAGAATCATATCTTATATAGCAAGTTATGTATTTAAAAAAAATAAAAAATTAAAAAAACTTTTGTTTCGTCGTTGTTAAATGATCGCTTCGTCTAAAAAGTTTAAGATGAGTTCGCTTTAATATTGAACAACTCTAGCACGTCGATCACGTGCTTTCCTGTAAATAGGGTGACGGTAATTGGTAGGGCAACGGTTTAAAAAATCTCAAGTCTCGATACCATAAAATCGAGACTAACGGTTTAAAAAAAAAATTAAAATCTCAATACCATAACATACGATTGGTAGATGGTATTCAGTCTCGACATAACTAAATAATTTAGGAAACAAACAAAAAGTCTGATCAAACACAAAATGAAAGATAAATAAATAGATATGATCGATGAATTGATCAATTATTAGTACCGGGATAAACGAGCAGAGCTAAGTGTCGAACGAAGTCGACGGAGTGAACCACATTGGTGGCGGCTCGATCCTTTTGATCTTATCCGCTCCAGAGGCGGCACGTGGGAGGCGAAGGATGGCGGAGAAAGTCCTTTCCTCAATGGGATAATTATAGCACGGGGCGAAATCCCGTTTTGCGTAATCAAACACTCCGATATCATGTCCACCGATTTCCGAATTTTCATCCAAATAATCGGGAGTATATTCCTTTGCATCGGTGAAGTAAATGGAATCTGGATTAATTCCATTTCCTCCTTGGATAGCGAACCCATGGTTGATGCCGATAAACATGGCCAACCCGTTTAACGAACTCTCCATGTACCTCAATTCCCGTTTCTCGATGTCGATTTCGTAGACGTCGAAAGATATAGTGTTGTAAGGAAAATCCGGGGGCACGGGGGTATAGTAGCGAGCCGGCTTTCGATCGGCGACGTATCGACGGACGAGAAAGAGTTGATCAGTCTGCTCGCAGACGACGAGGTATTTCACGGAGTCGAACATCTCTTTGAGTTCGCACTCGTCCAATTTCCCGACCGAGCCCCACGGGTGGTTCTCGTCGTCGTCGTCCGGTTTCAAGAAGTCGAGCGGGATCATCTTCGGAGGGGAACGCGGGTCCCGCAGATCCCAAGCCTCGATTTCCGCGTACTGCGTGACGCAGAAGAAGAGTTTGCGCTTGGCCGAGTAGACAAAGTCCTGGTATTCCCTCTGGAAAGTCTTGTCGTGTTTGTGTTTCTGCTCTTCTATTTCAAACCACTAAATGGTGTGTCTTTTTTTTTTCAACCACATTGTTTTATTCATAATCTTATATAGATTCAATTGTGAACCTTTTGATTTATATACATATATAGTCACATGTAGTCATGTACTGTAGTCATATATAGTCACATGTAGTAACAAGAATGAACATAACTACATGTGACTATAGTTGACTACATATAGTCATATCTGGTCATATGCAGTAACAACTACTTGTGACTATAGTTCATCAAAATAAATTTATCAAAAAAATGTCTTTCATTGTTTTTTGTATTTTTTCATGTAATGTAATTCGTTTGTTCCATTTTGTTCTTCGTTTTCTTTAACTTGTATTTTTTGTCACAGGTTTTGCTTTGTGTAACATTATGAGATGCAAAAAATAAGATGCAGAGAAGTGTAATGCATGTGAAGTTCCATTCATGCTACAGTACTCTAGACTTAAGCCACTTATATAACTATAGATAATTGTAGATAATATAGTCACGTGTAGTAACATATAGTTATATGTGTGTTATGTGATTTTTAATGTATAGTAATGCGTGTTCATGTTATGAAGATTTTATGGATGTGATTGTGTTTTCATTTTCTTTTTTGGTTAGTTGATTTATAATATCAAGATTAAAATTGTAAATTTTGTTGTTGGCGTAGATTAATTTTGGGGTAAAAAAATAGTACATGATTAAAATTGTAAATTTTAGTGATTGGTCAGATTTTCACCAACGGGAGGTGCAAGAGTGTGAGGCACAGGGCGGTTGTGAATGACAAGAGAGAGAGGATCTCGATCGTCGTGGCCAATGGTCCGGCGGGGGATGCCATCGTCGGACCTGCGGTGGATCTTGTGCGGAAGGACGGCCGTGCAATTTACCTTCCGATGAAGTATGAAGAGTACGTGGAGGCTAGGATGCACGGACTCGTCAAAGAGGCGCAGCTCACGAAATCACGTCTCCACGGCAAATCTATCTTGGAACAGATGATGATCGATGAACACATGAACAATTAATAACTGGACGATATATTTTATTATTATATTATTAAGTGGTAGTTTTATTTATTCCTAGTAGAATATATTGTACGTTAATTTAAATTAATGAATTCTTATTTGAAGATCGTGGTGAATGTGTGGTATAATACTATCGAAATAGTAAAATTATAAAATGTGATGTGACATAACATAATACATTGATATGAATTCATCATCAAGTAAGTGTAAGGAATCCAAAATAAAAATATGCAATTCAAATAATTATATTCAATAAAAAAAGTATAAAATAAATAAGTATTGAATGCGGGTGAAAATTGGAATTTTCGACTTCCAACTATTTTGATCTGAAAATTTCGACTTTGGAACAATACCTTTTAACATGATTTTCGATTTGCACATTGCAATTGGGATATATATAGGAGATTACAATTTCTGATCCGATGTCTATTTTCAAAATAATTATTTTCTACAGATGTATTACACGTGAATAAAAAATGAAATTTTCGAATTTCGACGTTATCCATCCAATTTGGGAATAGTTTTTGAAATTACGATATTATTTTTTCCAAATTATTTTAGAACATAACTGAAATTGGTATTTTCTTTTTTGGAAAAAAAATCTTTTGAAAGAACTAATGTCGATCTGAATTGTCTGATTTCGCATTTGATATTGAAAAGAATATGCTATGAATTCTTGGTAATGAAGTAACTCGCAACCAACTATATAAGTGCATGGATAAACATACACTCTTGTATAATAAATTGCAAACGATGTTAACCACACTCGACGAACAATGTGTGACAAACTGTACTTAACGACATTTGCTAGGGAATTCGAACCTTGAACATGATACAAATGAAAGGGGACGAAGACAAGGAGCTATTGGGCGGCATTATTTGTTTTCCTATTTTAAACCAACAACTACTAACCGGCAACTAAGTTCTCGACTTTTATTTCGAATTTCCGTGGTTGTTAATTGAAAGATAAACTTTGTAATTTTACTATTTAAGATTTCAAAAAGTCATTTTCTCACCATTTTTTTCAAAAATATTCCTTATTATTTTCAAGATAATAGAAATGATTTTTTTTACATAAATATATATCTACTTTTACCTGTTTTTTTTTTACCCCCTTAAAATATGAAAATAGGTTTGAAATGAAATAAAAAAGGGATTCCGGTCGACGACTAAGAATCTGCGGTTTGAGATTAATTTTGGTTGGCAAACAAACTTCTAAGTTCTAACCCCCAACCTTTTCTGCAACATAATTAATAATCGGCAAACTGAGATAAGATTAAATTATGAAAAAAATGTTTCGTTCATAAGTAATTTCAAATATCACTAAATTATATATTTTTATGTGAAAAAATCCTTCTTTCAGTAGGTAAATTTAACACTATAAAATAGCGTCTTCAGTTCAGTATATATGCCGGACATCGATACCTTATATCATTCCGAATACCAAAATTCCACAGAGTATTTATCGAATTTCCGACTCACGGGATATTTATCACGTACCAAATTTTCAGTTCAGTTACCGACGAAGTGAACAGCTGTAGTGTAGTAATTAAAACGTGGAACCCGTGAACTTGTCTTGTGCATTCACGTTAAAAGAAAAAGAACAAAATAGCATTATTAACATCCCCAACAATGGCAAAACCGAAATATGAATATTAGTTTCATACTTGTGTGCTTTTTAGGTGTGTGGTTATCTACCTCTCTCAACTAAATATCCACACACTACCGTTTTAGCTATATATAGTACCCCAATCTCTCTCTCTCTCTCTCTCATCCACACACACAGAAACAGTGATCAGTACACGCATAAGCATAAAAATGGCAGCCACAGCTAATTCTCAAATAATTAGTTCCACCACTGAAAATTCATTCGTTAAAGCGCTTGCCGAATCTTCCACACTCAAATCCATCCCTACCGAATTCACTTTCCCCAATGATTACACATGCTCAAACCCTAATTCACTCCCCACCGTTGATTTCTCCCTTCTCATCTCCCCCGATCCCGATCAACGCTCCAAAACTCTCCACGAACTCGCCGGCGCTTGTGAACAATGGGGATTCTTTGTTGTAAGCACACACACTGACACACACACACACATTAATGTATGTAGAATTGATGTATGTATAATGATATATATATACGTATACATTTTGATTTCATGCAGCTGGTGAACCATGGAATACCGGAGAGTGTGCTGAAAGGTGCGATATCGGCGAGTTTGGAGTATTTTGATTTGCCGGCGGAGGAGAAGCGGCGGTACGAGGCGAAGAGTCCGTCGGATCCGATCAAATCTGGAAGCGGCAGCGTGATCAATACTAACAACCACAGAATTCACCTGTGGAGGGATTACGTCAAGTCCTATGTTCACCCTCAATTCCACTGTCCACATCAACCCACTAATTTAAGGTATATTAGTAATTATTATAATAATAAGGACGGCAAATTGCACTTTGCCCCCTCAAAAGAATCTTTTTTTTTTGCAATTTCTCACCTTAAAATACAAAAATAGACTGTCACCCTTCGAAATATACAACTAGGTGCACGTTGCCCCAAATGTGTACTTCCGGTTTAATTCTCGTCGAATTAAAGATGAATATGTCATTTTACTTTTTCCGCTTGAAAATCCTCCTTCCATAGTTACTTAGGGTTCGTAAATTAACAAAATTTTGTTCTCAATTTGATGAAATTCGCTTTCAAATTAGACGAAATTCTCTTTCAAATTTGACAAAATATGTTCATTGTTCTTCATAATCATCGTAAGATGGGGTGAAAGAAAAGTTAAATGACATTTAAAGCATTAAAAGACGAAATTAACTTTCCAATTTACTCAAATTCGACAAGAATTAGACCGGAAACACATTTGGGCAAAATGCACCGAGTTGTATATTTTGATGGGGGACAATCTCGTTTTTGTATTTTGAAGGGGGAAAGTGCAAAAAAGGATTCTTTTGAGGGGGCAAAATGCAATTTGGCCTAATAATAATAATATAGGGTAAATTACACCCACACCCTCTGAGGTAAAGTTAAATAACTTTAAGGTCCCTATGGTATCGATAATTACACTCACCCCTAAAATATAGCGGACTATTACTTTTAGCTAGTAGTGAAGACAACGCAGAGTTAGGGGACCCATAGCTCTTTGTTGTCTCCACCACTTCCTGAAACTAATAGTCCGTTAGAGCTCTATCGGAATAACGTATCCAATGCATTATCCCATTAGAGTTTCTAACTATGTTTCAGGGGAGTGAGTGTAATTATCAATACCACTAGGACCTTAAAGTTATTTAAGCATACTCAGGGGTGTTGGTGTAATTTACACAATAATATATTATTATTGTTATTAATAATTAATCTACTACTACTCTAACAGGGACACCGTATATGAATTTTCTGAAAAGAGTCGAAAAGTGGCAAGAACATTGCTGCAGGGGATCGGAGAAAACCTAGGCCTGGAAAAGGGGTACATTGATGAAGCTTTAAAGCTCGACACGTGTTTTCAGTTATACGCGGCGAATTATTACCCGCCTTGCCCTCAGCCCGATCAAGCGATCGGAATTCCGCCACACACCGATCACGGGCTTTTGACTTTTTTGATACATAATGGAGTCGCCGGTCTGCAGATACAACACAATGGAGAATGGTTCGACACAAATTCCCCTCCTAATTCCATTCTCGTTAACACCGGCGATCATCTTGAGGTAAATTAATTAATTCATTAATCTAACTTCAATTTTTTTATTATTGTTTTATACAATGTACTATGATGGAAACCGGATGCATGAATTAAAATTAGCACTTCCGATTTTTTTTTTTTTTCGAGAAGTGAAAAAATGAATTTCAAATCTGTTAAAAAGAATCGGAAATTGGAATAAAAAACTTGTTTCAAAATAGGAAATCTTCAAATCGGAATCGGTTGAATTCAAAGAATTTCAAATTGGTAGTCACCTACAATATCGACATTAGTATCTAATTAATTTTTGGAACAAAAACAAAATGAAATTTTTTGGATTTTCTTCCAGAAATAGAATCGATTTCACATATATTCCAATTCTAGTCCAAAATATTTCGGAAAAATTGGATATTCAGAGTTCGGACAAAAAATTGGAAAATCCATTCCAATTTTGCACCACTAAAAATGGACTATACTTTCAAGTGGTAAAATCGAGTACTTTTGAGAAGTCAAGAAATCGTAACATAAAAAAAAGGCATAATTTTAGACTTCTACGCGTAAAAAATAATATATTTTTATCCATTTTGCTTCGCTTACTAGATATTTAGCAACGGGAGATACAAGAGTGTGAAACACAGAGCTGTGGTGAATACTGAAGCGACAAGGATATCGGTCGTTCTGTCAAACGGTGCAGCACCGGATGCGGTTGTGGGCCCAGCCCGAGAGCTGGTTGAAAGAGATGGCCGTGCATTATACCACTCCATGAAATTTATCGACTATGTCGAAACAATGACCAGCAATCTTCGTATGGGTAAAACTAGCTTGGATTGCATCAAAATCCAGGATGAATAAACGAGTCTGTTGAATAATCGCCATTGTTATCAGGATTATTATGATATATAATTATAAGTTCGCTATATATATGTTTAATTTAATTAGCACCAGCTGGAGTTTATTCACTGGGGTGTAATGTATTAAGTGATATATAATTATATGTATACTTGTCCGTTCCTTTTTATATTTAAAGAAAAATAAAATCAGAATTTATGTAACTTAATTAAAGTAAAATTTATTAAACACAACGTGCAGTCAAACTTACGCGACATCCGGTGAAGTATTCATCGTATGGTTAGTTTTTATTGTTCATTTAGACGAATCAATATCGATGTGTGCGTTTTTAATTTTTATGTAAAGATCTATCCGGTTTATTTTACCCACAAACTAGATCCACAAACATGTAATAATTACTAAAATTGTAGGATCTATGTGTTCCTCTACCCTGTTTTAACTAGCAGTTTTCATCATCAAATTTGATTATTAATTCCATATACTATAATTTATTTCCTCATTTAAAATTATTATGTGTTTTTTGTATATTCAAAATAGTATTTTACACTTAAAGTATTATTGTTTATTTTAAAACAAGAAACCATATATTGAATAAAAGAGAATTATTCTTTTTACTTTTAATAAAATAGTCATCTTATATATAAACCTAACTTAAATATCACAATTGTCAGGATGGCCGAGTGGTCTAAGGCGCCAGACTCAAGTTCTGGTCTTCGAGAGAGGGCGTGGGTTCAAATCCCACTTCTGACAAATTTTTAATTTTTTCATTTTCCCCCCAATGTTTTTTTATTTTCACTTTCCCCACAAGTTTTTTACTTATTTTCATTTTACCCCAATGGTATTTTTATTTCCATTTTCCCCCATACACATTTTTATTTTCATTTCTCCCCCCAATGTTTTTTTTATTTTCACTTTCCCCACAAGTTGTTTTTTATTTTCATTTTACCCCCATAAGTTTTTTTATTTCATTTTACCCCAATTGTATTCTTATCTTCATTTTCCCCCATAAACATTTTTATATTCATTTCTCCCGAAAAAAGAAATTATTTTCCTTTTCCCCAAATGCATTTGTTGTTATTTTCATTTTACCTCAAATTTATAATTGTGTCAGTTTTACAATACGAACTGAGAGTCAGAAATCCAGCTACAATGGCCGCCCGCTCCTTCTTCTTCACTCTCACTCGGTAAATATCTCCCATTTTACTTTATTTTGTTTTCCTTTCATCGTCAATTATCCATTTTCCTCCCCAATTTTAGGAGAACTTTTGATTAGGGTTTTTCGCACCTGCAGGAATGCACGAAAGGGCAATAAAACTCCGTTCAGATCCATTTCTTCAAGCAACGAAGCTGTTAGACAAGATCAAATCGCAATAACACATGAAGGAATCGCGGATGATTTTGCAGAAGATGAAAACGATGATTTGAAGAGCAGAATATTCCGGCTCAGGCTCCCGAAGAGAAGTGTGAGTAATGTTTTACAGAAATGGGTCAACGAAGGCCACCAAATTACCGTTTCTGACCTCCGCAGCATCTCCAAAGACCTCCGCAGATCCCATCGCTACAAGCACGCCCTTGAGGTATTTAAATTTTTCCTCCTTTATTTTTTTTCTTTTAAATAATAAATTATCTAATTTGTTCGTTATTTCGTTTGTTTCATGGATTTGAGATGGTTCCTTTTTCATTTTTGCACTTTTTTTTTTTTTTTGTTCTTGCTTGATTTAATGCTCTGCGTTTGAAAAGAACGAGGCCCATCTTCAATTTGTGATTACTTGCATGAATTTCCATTATTTATGAGGGGTTTGGTAATAAATAGCATGATTAACGAATATATCGTTTCATTGTGAATTTTCGTATAATAAACGGGACAAGAAAAGTTTGAATCTGGTTCTTGGTTCTCCGGATGTCCTGGCTTTTGTGAAATATTAGTTGCTTTAGCCGGTCAATTTGAGCATGTGCGGTGAACTAATGGTGAAACGTCTCTTGTTGATCTTCTCTCTTTACATCGGAGGGTGTTTCGCGAGGGTCATCGTTCCAATAAATCAATATCGTTGCTAAAATGCTTTCCGGAATAGATACTAAACAAAAAAGTGAGTAGCTCCCAACTATTTCAACCCATTAGTTTTAAGATAAAGCTACGTTCTTGAGAAACTTGAAAAAACCTCGTGTAGATTTACTTGTTCTAAGAGGTTGTTATTATGAGACGATTCCTTTAAACTTAGTTAAACAACCCTCCTGTCTGGCTCGGCACTAGTTTTCTCGATGGGATAAAGAAGAGTTCATCTTTAATAGAATAGTTTTTGTTTTTTCAATTTCGGAATTTTTTTTGGGACCATGGATGTAAGAAATGTTAGCATAATCTTGAAAAGTAGTTGTCTCATTCAAAATTAACATATTGAGATATTAACTTTTTAAACTACTTTCATAAATTCGCAGATATCAGAATGGATGATTAGTCACGAAGAGTACAAACTATCCGACTCCGACTACGCAGTCCGAATCAACTTGATGACCCAAGTTTTCGGAATCGATGCTGCCGAACGCTACTTCGAATCTCTCCCATCTTCCGAAAAAACGAGTGAAACATATACCGCTCTCCTCCACTCATACGCCGCTCTAAAGCACATTGATAAAGCAGAGGAACTCTACGAGAGAATCCAAAAGGCCAATCTTTCTCTAACCGCCATCACTTACAACGAGCTAATGACATTGTACATATCCGTCGGACAGCTGGAAAAAGTACCCTCAGTAATCGAAGAAATGAAACGGCAAAACGTGAAACGGGATCTCTTCACGTACAATCTGTGGGTGAGTTCCTGCGCTGCATCTCTAAATATAGACGAGGCAATGAGAGTTCTTGATGAGATGAGCCTCGATTTAGGGTGTGATGAGAGTTGGATTAGATATTCGAAACTTGCTAGAATATATATCTGCGGTAATCAGATGGTGAATTCGGATAACGGGTGTTTGGTGGAGAGCGAGAAAGGTTCTGTTACACAGAGAGAGTTGATATCGTACGACTTTCTTGTTGTGCTGTACGGGGGTTTGGGGGACAAGGAGAAGCTTGACCAGATATGGAAGTCGTTGAGGATGACTAGGCAGAAGATGATTGGACGGAACTATGTATGCGTGATTTCTTCGTATTTAATAAACGGGTGTTTGAAAGAGGTTGGAGAAATAATCGAGCAATGGAAGCAATCTGCTACTTCGGAGTTTGATGAATCGTTGTGTAAGAAACTTGTGGATGCGTTTGAGGAAGTTGGGATGAAGGATGAGGCGGTTAGTTTCGGTATGGTATTAAGTGAGAAGGGGTGTGATTTTGTCGGATAATTTATATGAAGGTGGTGGCGTTGGTGTTTCTCTGGGTGTTTGTACTGTGTTACTGCTCAATTTTGGGGGCAGATTTTGGATTTACAAAAGTGGAGGGAGTAACGAATAATATAGTATTCTTCTCTTAATGATATCATCAATTTTTTGTGAGATCTGGCATGATTTCATTACTTATATCAACCTATTGTAGCACGAAAACTTCAACTTCATAATTGTTCGGCGATTCAGATACATTTTGTGTCCAACACTCGAGGACAACTGTCGGACACTTTATGGTCTATTTTTCTAATTTCAAAAAAAAATTAGAAACATGTATGAATAATAAATTTTCAAATATTTTTTGTTACTTCCTAAATTATTTATATGTTTTAATGATCAATTGCAGAAAAATAATTGATAGTAAAATTATTTTAAATATATGTATATGAAAATATATAAAAAGAATTATATATAAAAAACTTATATGTTTTTATATAACATATTTATAAATATACACTTGTACTTTTCATGGATAGCTCATCAACTTGAGGTAATAAAAAAGTGGGACCCCTAAAAAAGTAATAATAATAAGGGGTTATATGAGATAACCCCCTTATGCAATTCCCTTAGAGGTTTAAATCCATTTTTAAATTTACTATTAGGGATAACCCCTCACTTAGCATAATACCTTATTTAGCCCTATTATATTCATAAAAAATATTAAAAATTAATATCAATTAGATTAATATATGCAAACACCCACGTTCAGTTTTTTTCTTTCGATTCATTTAAATAAAAATTGTTTATTTTTTATTTCTACTTTAAAAAATAGTTATTTATTTATTATTTTTAGTTTTTCAATTTTTTTATTTGTTTATTATTTTTAATTTTCATTTTTTTAATATTAATTTTTTTCCGGTTTATTCTTTTAATTAATTTTTTTATTAATTTTTTTCACTTTACCAAATTGAAATACACTACACTTATCGAATTTCACTATATATAAATATTTTGAAATTTAATGAAATACTATAAAATTAACATAATCCGCACTATAAATATTTCAAAATTTAATGAAATACTATAAAATTACCATAATCCACTATTTTATTGCCTGAATTTGAAATCCACTATTCATTTTATAAATTTGAAATTCACTATTCACTGTTTGAAATCCACTATTCACTATAAATATTTCAAAATTTAATGAAATACTATAAAATTACCATAATCCACTATTTTATTGACTGAATTTGAAATCCACTATTCATTTTATAAATTTGAAATCCACTATTCACTGTTTGAAATCCACTATTCAACGTCTGAATTTGAAATCCCCTATTCACTGGTCGAAATCCACTATTCAATGTCTGAATTTGAAATCCCCTATTCACTGGTCGAAATCCACTATTTAATGTCGCGTGTGTATTAAAAAACCACTATTTACTGTAAGCGCATCGACACCCCTCCTCTATTGCTCGCGCTGCGTCAGGTATATTTTGTTTGAAATCCACTACAAGTTCATCAAAAACACTACAAAAATATAGAAATTCATTACAAAAGATCTACTTTACAAAGAGAAAATCCACTAAAAACTTGCCTAAATCAACACAAAAGTCCCCTTTAATAAACAATGTCATCGCTTACAATAGTAGATTCACCCGGGCATCACCCAACCTCGTCTCACTTGTTGCCATCACTCCTTGTGCAAGCCCACTACAAAAAAATATCGAAATTCACCAAAATATTAGCATAATCCACTATGAAATTAACCTAATCCACTACAAAACAATTACAAAAATATTAATGTAATCTACTACGAAATTAAACTAATTCACTACGACAAATCCCTTTTTTCAAAGACAAAATTGAGTTCAATTATATCGAAATTCACTAAAATAGTAATGTAAACCACTACGGAATTAACCTAATCCACTACAACAAATCACCTTTTCAAAGAAAAAATCCAATTCAAAATAAAAATTACAATCTAATTACAATCAAATTATTATTTTTTTGTTGAAAATCATGATTATTCATAGTTCAAGTCAATATCTCCAAATTTGTGCGTTCCAATTGAATACGATATTAAATTATATTATTATTAACAATTGTGCGTTCCAATTTATTGAATAAAACAAATTCAATAAAAACTGAAAGGCTCCGAAAATCAAGTAAAAAAATAGAACAAGAAATAATTAAAATTCTCCATATTTTTCAAATTACCCGTACAACTCGTCGATCCCATCACAAAAAAAAACACAAGATCTTTCTGTGCCGTCTGGAAAGATGGAGATCTCTGATCTAGAGGATGAAGGAGCCGCGACGACTGATGTCGAAACAGTGGATGTCTTACATCGATGGAGAAGGCCGAGATTTGGAGTGAATGTCTCACGTCGGCTAAGAGGACCGAAAATTTTTGGAAGAAGAAATCGCTGCTACTGTTGAGGAAGAGAGGGGGGCGCTGATGTTGAAAGAAAAAGAATCGTGAAACATCGTTTGGTAAGATTAGGGTTGATGTAATTAAATTATTATAATTTAATATTAAATTATAGGTTTTGTTAAATAGAAAATTGGATCTATACAAGGAAATACTTAAGGGTATTATGGAGAGATCATAATAAAAATAGTTAATAAATAAAATTTAGGATTTATCTCAAAAAGGGAAAAAAAATTTGGGTCTACACTAAGTATAAAAGGCATATGGGGGGGTTTTCTCAAATAATCCCTAATAATAATAATAAATAATAAATTATGTTGTTCTTGTCTATTATTCATAATCACACAAGAGTGTTCTTGTCTATTTTTTCTCGATAGATATTTAGCAATGGAAAGTATAAAATGTTTTGCATAGAGTGGTGACTGGTGGTGAATAATGAAAAGACGAGGATTTCAATTGCGATGGCCAACGGTCTGTCGGGAGACACGGTTGTGGGCCCCGCTCCGAAGCTTCTGGAAAAACGAGGGTGTGTTTCATCGTACGCTCCGATGAAGTACAATGATTATACATTGTCACAACAGAGTAACCAACTCAAGTGCAAGCTTCCATCTGGTACTATTTCAAAGAACCATATCTAATGTAGCATGTTATGTATTTAAAAAAAATGAAAAATAAAAATACTTTTTGAAAGAATTTATGGTCCCGAATTCGTTTAATACAGAGGTGTTATCTTAAGTGTTATGACACTTGAACAAACATGCAGCGGAAATATAAAGATAAAAGAACAATACTCAGAATTAAAAATGTTCACAAGTAAAGACTTGTGAACTTGCCCTTTACAGGACGGAAAAATATATTAAAATCAGTATTCCAAGAATACAAACAGAAGAGTGCGAAAACTTCTTCCTTATGAATGAATCTTTTTCAAGATCATTCTTACAATCAAATCTAGATACTAAAAGAAAAATATTAAAAATTCTAGATTTCAAAGAATGTACTCATAAGGAGTACGTAAAGCAGATCCTAGAAAACAATCTAAAATTCTCGAGATTAAAACTTTAGCTCTCTTTTTGTTCTCTCGAAATCTGTACAAATCTTGAGTCTTGAGTTGGGTATTTATAGACTTTGCCAAGCTTCCACTTCTCAGCCCATGATCTGCAAGAAAACCAACCACAAGAGCACTCAAGATAATGGGTTAGTGGGTTAGTTTGGAAGTTAAGATAAATTCCATAATTAAATCCACTAAGCATTACTTAACCCCACTTAGCCCACTAACTAAGATTTAGTTTAGAGTTAAGAAAAGTTAAAAACACATTGTGAAATTAATTCACGTGTTTCAAACTCCCCCTTTTTAACTTTCTGATCAAAACTAAATCGTAGTCAAAGACTCCCCCTGAGATATTGCTTGAACTCCCCCTGAATTTGATACCATTTGAAAAACATAGAAACAATAAATTAAAACCAAATTCAGCAAGATAGTCCAACAAAATAAATAATCAAAGTGCAGTCCTAAACAAAAGTTCTGAGGGAAAATAAACAAAACACAGAAAAAAAATATTGTTCATGAAAACAATCTAAAGTAAAATATCCAAAGTCTCCAAGGTCTCCTCAGTTTCAGCTGCTGCTCCTCCTCCATCACTAGATCCACTGCTTTCTTCTTGAGCTTCCCCCTCTTTCTTTGCTTCCTCTTCATTGACTCCTTGCTCTCTGCCTCTAGCATCCAAAGGATGAGATGTTCCTGCTTCAGTTTCATGATCTTTTTCTCCCCCTTTTTGATCAGAAAGAGCCTTCTGAATCATCTCCACCATGGACTGATGATAGGTAATCTGAGCTAGAGAATGAGTAAGCTGCTGCAATAGAAGATCTCTAGGAACAGACACGAGAAGGTTAGAAGTGTTGTCAACATGAGGTGCAACACCCTCAGTACCAATGTTATTTTGACCTGATTCAGTTGAGAGAAAATCATCTCCATTCCAGGGAAGATCTTGAACATGAGGAGCCCTCAGAAAATTTTGAGACACAGTGATCATGCCTTGTGGGGTGTGAAGATATTCTGAGTCATCTTGGCCCAAATTTTGAGAGAGTAAAATGGAGTAGATGAGAGAAGGATAGGGGAGGTGAGTGGAGGGTGAAATTTTCTGGGCAAGATGACCAATAGTATCAAAGAACAGTTTACCAAAATCCACTGGTAATCCCATCCCCAATTTGTACATGAGTACAGCATGAGGTTTTGTTACCACAGAGACATTTTTGGATGGAATCCAATTAGTCACTGTGAGTCTAAACAGGACAGAGTAGAAAGCAGTGAGTTGAGACACTTGGAATTTTCTTGGGTGTGCAGGCCAATTTTTTAAACGGTTTCCAGAAATAACTTTGCAAATCTCAGTAAAATCACCATAATTATCCTCATCAATCACAGTAGGAGTTTGTAAATGAGAGTTGATAATTTTGGGAGAAAAAGAAAAGATGGCATTGCGCACAAAAACTTTGCCAAAGTTTGGAGAGTTTTTCTTTAAAAAAGAGGTTTGCAAATTTGCATAAAATTCCTTCACAACCAAGGGATCATAAGAGCAGGCAATCTCAACTAGGTTAAGGATTTTTCTTTGGTGGAAAAATGCAGTGATCCTATGCCCAGTGGCGGAGCCAGGAATTCGAGACAGGGTAGGCTTAACATTAACGGGGGTTCGGGGGCAGCGCCCCCGATTTTTTTTTTTTTTTTTTTAATTCATTCACGTAAAAATATAGCACAAAATAACTACAAATTTATAAACTTAAACTAATATAAGCTATATTAAATTACTTGGGTGGGTGGGCTTAACATTGATGGGGGTTCGGGGGCAGCGCCCCCGATTTTTTTTTTGTTCATTAACATAAAATAGCATAAAATAACCACAAATTATAAACTTCAACTCATATAATATAAATTTTTTGATAGATAAGCTAAACTAAATTACTTGGGTGGGCTAAATTAAACTATTTGGGGGGCTAATTATATATAGATATAATATATAGTATAAATTTTTAAATAATGAGAGTGGGCTGGAGCCCACCCTTGCCAAAGGGTGGCTCCGCCACTGCCTATGCCTATCAAATTATTCCTTAGAAATTTTCTTTTCCTCAATGAATTGACAATTCATTACTTGAGGACTCAACAGTGAATCAGATTCAAAATAAAAATGAGGACTGAAGGCATTGGTTACCTCAAAAGGGGTTGACAAATTCTTCCCATCCAAGTCTGGTTCTTCTTCTTCTGAGAAATCATCATCTTCTGAATCTTCAAGCTCATCAGGGACATACGCTGGTTCAGGTGATGCAGCAGATGGGGCAACACCTTCTTCCTGCTGAGAAGAGTCTTCAGAGTATTCACTGTCAGAATCAGAAGAGGACAAGTTTTTGCGAAAAGTAGCTAGTGGAACCTCCCAACTGTCTTCACTTTTCTCTGATTCTTCAGCCTGAGGAGGAGTTGCATCTGCTTGAACTGCTGCTTCTGCCAGAGTTTCCAGAGGATCTCCATGAGGTGCTGATGAAGTTTCTTCTGTAGTGGTGAAGTCTTGAGCATCCACAGATGGAATATCTACATGCTCTGCTGATGACATTCCAGAGAAATCAGGCATTTCTTCATCCTGATAAGGGCCAGCATCCTCAGCAGCATTCTGAGGAGCATTTTCTGAAACAGTAGGTGCAACAGCATCTTCTGTAGCATGTGCAGCAACACCTTCAGAAACAGGTACAGCAGCATCTTCTGGAGCATGTGCAGCAACACCTTCAGAAACAGGTGCAACAGCATCTTCTGGAGCAGAATGTTGAGAGGCTGCTGTTGCCATGCTAGGCTGTGATGTCTCCCCCTGAGTTGATGCTGGGGAAGGTGAGTTGTTGGATGATGACTCGGAGGAACTGGAGGACAAGGCTTGAGCCTGTGGTGCAGCAAATGTAGGGTCTCCTTCTTCATCATCAGTTTCTTCATCCACCAAATGAAGACCTCTTGGTGGATTTGACCTAACAGGAGTGCGGCCACCTCTGCCTCCTCTTTTTCCACCTCTGCTTCCTCTCCGGGGAGAGTTTTCTCCTCTCCGGCGTTGTGGCACCGCAGTATTCAAATCTGGGAAGGGGTTTGTGCGCTTGGACCGACGCGTTGGAAACCTTCCGGCGGTGGAAGAGGGACCCACAAAATCAAAATTATCTGGGTCAATCGGGTTCAGCTCATCTCCGGGCTCAATGTAGCTGATTGGAACAGCTTCAAAGTTGATTGGATGAACGATGATGGCCAGATTTGGGTCTGCTGGTACAGGTGCTGCAGCATCGTTGTGGACATCACCATCGGCGGCTGGAGGAGGATTTCTAGGTGGGGATGCCATGATACAGTAGATAAAGGAAAATAGCTTCTTTGTGCTTTTGATTTTTGAGTGTGAATTTTTGAGAAAATAAGCACGAAATTTATAAGCCCTAATTTTGCTGAAGAGAGAAAGAAAAAATTGAAGTGGAGAAGGTGAAGAAGTGGTGTGCGTTTTTCTTGGGGAGAGTGTGATTAAGGAGAATAAAATTTCCTTGGCAGTTTAAAGAAGAAACGTGACACATGGCACAATAAGGAGTGGACTTAGTGGAAAATAAGGAATTAACCCATGTACCCATGACCCATATAAATAGGGATAATTCAACAAAAAATAAAAAAAAAAAAACCGTAGCACTCATGAAATATTCACAAAAAATAGAAAAACTCATTTATTAATGATTAATAGTGAGAAAAATTTGCTGACAGGCATAGATACAATTATATATATATATTTATTATATAAATTTTTTTTATTTTTTTTTTTTTTTTTTTTTTTTTTATAATATATATATATATATATAAACTCTTATTTTCAAGTCAAACAATTCACATGGAACATGATCAAGTGTTCAGTTTGAAGGTTCCTCAGTTACTAAGATATGACTATCAAAATATAGAGGAGTTTGACTTATGTGAGTGTAATTATTGGCTAAATGTTTACATGAAGCATGATCACGTTTCAAGGTGAAAGACTTCCAGTTACTGATTTAGAAAATAATACATCACAGTGAAGTCATTATTTAATGAAGCTAATGCTTCAGTAAATTGTGTTTGCAGCTTAAGATATTTGATGAGGTGCTGCAACACGTTCCAGGACATGTTTATTGAGTACACATCCCGAGAGATTTTCTGAGTTTTGAAAACCTCTCATAATCTAATGCCTTTGTAAAGATGTCAGCCAGCTGATCTTCTGTAGGAATGCACTTTAAGCAC